CCAAGGTTGGGATCAGGCCCAAGAAGGGATATCCCTCTGCTAGGGTATAGTTCTTGGCTAGGGAAGCTAGAGGAGGGCACTGTTCGTATGGAGATAGGCTGAGCAGTGGGAGAGGAAGGACATGAGGGGGTCCCTGTCCAGCACCCCTTCTTCGCTTACACACGTTCATGTTGCATCTGTGCTTTTTGCCGCAGTGATGGCTCTCCTAATTACTTTCGAGATTTGTTCTCACATCTGTACCGAGGAAGCCGCTGTTGGAGGGGCCAGGATGACGCAGGAAGCCGACCGCCTGCCTTATTTTCTCAACCTAGCCTCCTGCTCCCACCCAGGTGCTGGCCTGTAGACAGCTTCTGAAGCAGTGTCGAGACAAAGGCACATCACTATCAAACCGGGCCTTCACAGACTACAGATCATAGTCTTGTGAAGTTCAAGCTCCTCATGGGTAGCCAAAGCAGAAACCCCAACAGCACACCCCCCCCCCCCCGAGACTCTGGGACAGCTGGTTGGAAGGCCGTGGGAGGCATGTGTAGGGCTTAAGCCTGTGGCCTTGGACATCTGAGCCTGGTGGGAGTTGTGCTCTGTTGCTGACTGGGTGACAGAAAGCAATTACAGGCTCGTTGCTTCTGCTCATCTGGAAATGGGGACAGCACAAGTGAAAGTGGGATACTAGGGAACCACCAAGGTACGTGCCCAGGCATATTCTCCTGCCTAGACAAGGTGCTGTGGTGTGTCACTGGCTATGTGACACTGTGGGCTAGGAGAGTCACCAGAGCGACCCAGCAGTGCCCATGGCCCTCAGAGCTTCTGGCCAAAGGCAGGCAAGGCCCCATGTACCCCCACCCCAGGGGACTGGCTGCTGGCCCCTGCCTCCCCACCTTCTGATATACAGCGGGCATTAGGCCGCCCAAAGGGGATACTGCATCCTTAGGAAGAAATATGTCCTCATTTTTCTTAAACACCGTTTCCACTGAGTGAAATGTTTAGAAGGGACGCACAGGGAGAACTTTATTTCCTACCAGGGAGTTCAGAGCCACCAAGCAGAGACCATAAAGCACCGGAGCTCGGTGGCTGACAGGCAGCCTGGCTACGAAATACATTACTCATGGGGGTGGAGGTAGGGGCTGCCGGGGCTGCCCAGCCCCACGGGACTGCCCCCACTCCAACACGACCAGCAGCTCCAAGACCCAGGGCTCTAAGTCGGTGGGCATCAAGACTCTCGTATTGTGCTCAGACCGTCTGAGAGAGAGAGGGTCTGACTAGACCTGGTGAGGAACGAGCAGCTCCCTGGTCTTTACTTCATGGTCAGGGAGGCTAGGGGACATGGGCCCAGGTGCAGCCCTCTGAGCCCCCCCCTTCTCACCAAAGCTGGCAGGAGCTCTGGCCTTCCCAGCCTTCAGAGGGAGTGAAGAGATTCATACCATACCGGGCCCTTCTCCTGAGGCTCTCCCTTCATTCGATTTCTGAAGCTGGCTGATTTGAATATTTATAAATATCAGTAAATTATTTATTGTAGCAATCTGCTGCACCATTTTATCCATTGCAGTTAACACTTTAGGGGGCTCCGAGTTATGGGAACAGGAAGTGAGGTTGAAGAGGAAATGGGATAGGGGACGAGAGAAACTCCCGTCTGGAAGCCGGGGATGTTTTCAAGGCCAGCCTCAGTGGCTCTCACTAGAGTGTCCTCACACTCAGGGAGGCCTACGCCTCCAGGATCAGCTCCCTTCTCTGACAAATGGGATTGTCATGGTGCCTGTTCAGCCGTCCTTAGGAGCCTTCAGTGAGTCCCTGCTGGAACCCGTGGACAGTCCTGCCTCTCTTTCCTGGACTGTGCTTTTCACTTGGATGAAAGCCCCACTGGGGGCTTATTGAGTTTCAAGCCTCATAAGGAGAATTGGGACCCAGGGAGCTAAGAGGTGGCTGAAGAGGAGGCCTGAAGGGACAACCACAAGCCTCCTGTCTGTCCTTTTTCCTATTTTCCTGGGTCAAATGGGCTTTCCCTGTCTTAGCATCTTGCTGGAGATATGACATGACTACTGCCTGTTGCCCCTCTTAGGACTCACCCCCCTTTCCAGGCCTTGTTTCCCAGGCCCTGTTGGTACAGACACACCTCACCTGGCACTTCCACAGTGCTTCTCCAGGAGAGATCTGTCCCAGGCTTGGAGCTCACCACAGGCAGAGCCAGGCCATGGGCTCAGGACTCTGACCCAGGACTCTAACCTCTATACAGTGCACTTCCTAGTGCTTACCCTCCTGGTACAGAGCCGCTGGGGTCAGGCTCCCAGGAATGGGGTACACTCTTCCGGGTCCTCCTCTGTTCCCCTCTCTTCTAGTACTTTCCCCATCACCCCTGAGTCTGCCTGTCTCTGGGTAAGCAGAACGGGAGCCCCCGGTGCTTCCCACCCTCCGACCCAAGCTTGCCTCCTGGGCAGTATTGTTCCCAGAGGAAATGTCCAGTGTAAATAGAGCAGCGGGCAGGCTGGTGGCGGGAAGGAGATGAAAGGGGCGGTGACAGGGCCGGGGACGGATGGCTTCCTTCCATTGAGGCCTGGCCATGGCGTTTATATTTTAGGGAAGAAAGTCAGAGGAATGTTTACATGGACAGGAGTCTGGGGTCAGACCAGTGGAGGGTGTGTGTGTGTGTGTGTGTTAATCTGTAGATCCCAAGGCCTTAATGGAGGGGCTGGTTGAAGGTTCATGGGGACCGGAAGACAGGCAAGCGGCTCAGCTTTCAACTCATACATGAGCCCCAGGATCACAGGCACACACGGGCACTTATGACTGTAAGCCTGGCTTTTGCCTGTGCCTCTCTGTCCCCGTGTCCTGGGCACAGACACCTCCTACTTCTCCACCTCCACCCATGGGACCATCAGTAGAGTCAGGGGGAGGGCAACATCTGGAAGGCAGGTGGTCTGGGGCAGAGCAGCAGCTGGAGGGCAGGTGTAGAGGGAGTTGGCTAGAGCAAAGAGGCCCAGAGCAGAGGGTGGGCCCTGGGTGCACAGCTGCATCGCAGCTGGTGGGGGCCCAGGCAGAGACTGGGCATGAAGCCGAGATGGAGAGAGGGTGGGTTATGCTGGGTGGGCCGAAGTTCAGGGAGGCTCCAGGATGGGTGGGGATCAGAGGAGGGGGTGTTGCCAGCAGCAAGTGCAACCCTGAGAGCTTGTGCTTCCCTCTTCCTTGGGATAAATATTTATAGATTCATTTGCCGTCTGCCATACACACTTGGCTGCTTACCTTCTGGTAAAAATAGTGCAGGCTCCTTCACTCCTGCCTGCCTCTTTCCCATCTAAGACAGGCACAAAGGAGCCCAGGTGAGGCCTGCCACCCTGCTGGAAGTCATGCGGTATCATACAGCCTGCCTGATGGTCTGCCCAGAGGCTTGGCGGGATGGGGTGTGACCGGGAGCCCTGATCACTGAGTTTCAAGATGGATCCACATGTGGGAGCTCGGGGATTTGTGTGGACAGCACAGATAGGAGAGATGTGGCCAGAGCGAGCATCGCTTGGTCAGGGACCAAAGGCCCTAAAATCGTGACCTCTGGGAAGAGGTCTGAGTGGACCTTTGTATAACAGCACACTAGGCTGGCATTATCCAGTCCCTTCTGGGCCAGGAAGAGCCTTACATATCAGCCGCTTTCGATAAGGCCAGGATCTGGGGCACTGGGCATTGTATATTTGAAGGAGCCGTCAATCTGCATGTACAAGCCAATTATCTTTGCATAGCATGAGGCCTCTATAGCCACAGGTGGGCTCTTGGGGTGTGCATGTCCATGTATTTGGCCATCATAGCTCAGAGCCCCTGAGCAGAGCCCCTTGCATAGACTTCTGACCCATATGGGACGTGCCAATTTCCCTGTGGAAACAAGGTGGAGGGTGTCCCTATATGGAAAGGTATTGTGAGCAGAGACCTTCCATATGGCCATTACCCTGTGTTTGGCCATATTACAAGGCCTGGCACACAGTAGAACCTCACTAAATGGATGGGTGGACCGCTGACAGATTGTTGTACGGTGTTACAGTGTGTACGTGTGTCTGTCCTTGGTAGTCTTCCTGACCAGTGTGCCCCTGAGACCTTAGGAGACCTTAAGAGGGCAGAGGATAGGGTAAGCAGTGTGTGTGTGTGTGTGTGTGTGTGTGTGTGTGTGTGTGTGTGTGATGGCTTCCAGCTGCTCAGTGCCTGTCTCCAGAGATTAAACAAGGATCTGTAGCTTCAACTGGTACCAGCTTGTCCTCACTGAGGGTCCTCTGGATTAGGAAGTAGGAACTCTGTGTTTGGGTAGCCCTGACTGAGGTTTGTGGAAAGAAAATAGCAATAAGAAATATCCACGTGGGGGTGGGGATGCAGAAAGCAGAGATGGCGGATGGGAGTGGAGGCCTTAGAGAGGTCCCGAATGGCCAAGGGAAGAGCCCTGCCATCCAGCGAGCAGAAGTAGGAACCAGGGGCAAGGGACAGAGCCAGAGACCCAGCCTGGTAGAAGAGCTGCCGAGAACAAGGTGCTCAGGTGGGAAGGTGCCAGCCAAGAGCTGCTGGGTCGGTAAGGCAGGAGGTTGGCACAGGCTGGAAGCTGGCTGCGGCTGACTCTTCCCCAGGGACCTGTGGTGAGGTAGAACATTCAGAAGCAGAGCCAGACTGCCAGCAGGGCAGCGCTCCCACTTGTCAGCCTTGCCCCGTCCAAACCCCTTCCCTGCCTGTGCCTTCATTTCCTGTGTTAACGGACACGTCCCCTCACGGAGGGGCTATTTCAAGCCAGGCAAGCTTAGGAAGTTCTTCAGGAATTCTTGTCTCATTCATTCCATTATCAGGAACCACTGAGCTCATGTCAGGGGCCGCATCAGGCTGACTCCAGCCTGTGCCACCCAGACTGATACGGATGGGCACATGCGGGTGGTCTCAGGGCAATTGGACAGAACTATGGTCAGACAAGAGGTGGTGGAGAGCTACTTGGGGGTGGCTGTGGTTGGTATGTAGGCCTCTCACCTCCGTGTCCCCCTCCATCCCTGCAGCTGAAAGCACTCGGTGCACCGACCCACCTGCAGGCAAGCCCCCAACGGCAGCCAAGCGCAAAGGCGGCCTGAAGCTCAACGCCATCTGTGCCAAGCTAAGCCGACAGGTGGTCGTGGAGAAGGGAGCAGAGGCCGGCTCCCAAGCTGAGGGTAGTCCACTACGTCCCCGGGACAAAGAACGCAGTGGCCCTGAGTCTGGGGTGACCCGGGCTCCCCGAAGTGAAGAAGACAAGAGGAGGGCCGTGATTGAGAAATGGGTCAACGGAGAGTACTGTGAGGAGCCCGCACCCACACCAGTGTTGGGGCGCATTCCCCGTGAGGGCCTGGAGCTGCCCCCAGAGGGTGTCTACATGGTCCAGCCACAGGGCTGCAGCGACGAAGAAGACCATGCAGAAGAGCCTTCCAAAGATAATAACGTCCTGGAGGAGAAGGATTCTGATGGTACGGCTTCAAAGGATGACAGCGGCCCCAGTGCCAAGCAGGCTTCAGGTGTGTGTCTGGCTGTGCGGGTGGGAAGGGAGGATGAAGGCTGGAAAGGGGCCCATTTCCCTGCAGAGGCCCAGCAGGCAAGGGTGGAAGTCCAGGGAATTCCTCTTTTTTCCTTCCAAACACTGGTACTTCATCCAACCCAACAGGATTGGAGAGATGGGGGGGGAGGGCCCGGGAGGGAGGCAGGACAGGACTGGTAGCTTCCTGAGTATGAGGGGCTCCGTGGGTGACTGCAGGTACCTGCACAGGGATGGGTCTATTTGAGGCCACGGTACCTGGCCGTGGTATAGGGACCAGTGGGGTTGTGTCATTGGTAACATGAACGGCGTTGAGTTCTTACCTCTAAGTCCTGTCTTGGTGGCTTAGCTGAGACAGCTAGTTCTAGAAAGGACTTTGTGCTCCCACACCACCCTGTCTCCTTCCCTGTGTCCCCACCCTGCCATCTGAAACAGCACCTCTTAAAGCCACCAGCCTGGCTCAGGCCAGCCAGCAGATCCCCCTCAACATGAGGCTGCCCCCGGACACGCTCCTCTGCTTGACCTGTTTCCCACAAGAGGCCTGGCTTCATCGGTGTCTCCTCGTCCTTAGCACACAGCAGCCTTCCCTGTTGCTGCTTCAGGGGAGGGCCGGCGTGGCATTTCAGACAGGAGAGGGGTCTCCTCTTGGGCTGGAGCCCTGGGACTCGGGGCCTTGGCTCTAGTCCTGAGTCTCCTTCCTAGGCTAATTCCTGGAGTCCTGTGTCTCCCCTGCCTGCTCCCCTGTCCCCTTCCCCCTGCAGCGAGGGGCGCATCTCCTCCCTGTGCGGGGAGCCCTGCGCAGCCACATAATTATGCATATAAGATATAAACAGAGCTGTTTAATTATCCTTCGCCACATCAGTGACAGAGTAATTAACAAACATTGCAAGATCAATGAGGAGAAGTGTGACCTTCAGTTTCCTCTGATAGGAAAAGCCCTTGCTATTGCCAGACACAAGGTGATTGTGCTGGGCCTGAGGACAGGAGAGGGATCGGAGACAAGGGCTGCTGTCCCCTCAATACCCTCATCCCACACCCCGTCCACTGTGGCCAGGGCGGTTGGATAGTCTCTCCTCTGGCCTTCTTCCCCTCCTCCAAGGAGTTGGGAGCTGGGAAGGCAGGAACAGAGCATGGACTATTGTGACTGCCACCCCGAGCCTCTGGCCTGGCCTCTCAGCCCTAGGCACTGGGGTCCCTGGTCCAAGCCCCATCTGCCCACTGTGGATTTGGCTTCCCAGGACTTTGGCTGTCTGTGGGACCCCCGCTGGTCCCCTCCCTGTTTGATGCTGCCTGCCCTTCAGAGCCTTCTGTTTCTCTGCCATATATAGTGAGGCCTCAGCTGCCTCCTGCTATTTTTAGCCCTTTTCCCTGGTCCCTGAACCACTTCATCCAGCAATCAGAGCCCACTCCCAGGCCAGTCCCCGACCTGTGTGTGTGTAGCTCAGGCTTGTGCTGACCCATCAGCTTGCCAAGGCAACTGTCTATGAGCTCCTTGGATCACTCAGGGTGTCAGAGGGATGTCTGACTGTCCTCTTTCATGTCTAGTGGGGTCCTACAGTCCTGTCCCCACCACGATGGCACAGAGCCTCTCCTTCCACACCCTGCTGGGCTTTCTCTCCTGCTAGGATATACTGTTAGGGTATGCTCTGAGACTCCTAAAGCTGGCAGGGCTGGAGGGAGTCAGGGGTCCCCTCCGGCCATACTCTTAGGTCCTCTAACCTAGATCTGGTTGCGTTGAGTGTGTTCAGATGGAAAGAGCGTGGGAGTAGGTAAGGTATAGGGGTCCCTGGGCTATTCTTCTCTCTCGTCTGTGTGTACCTGACCTGGATGCTGAGTCTAACCCTCAGAGGTGTCCAGCAGGGCTGTGGTGGGGAAATGAATGAGTCTGTGTACGACGGGCTCTGTCCATCTGCTGTGCTGACACACTGTGTGCGGAAGAGGCAACATGAGGGGCTCACTTCCTCCAGCCCTGCTGAGGCATGTCCTGGGGCACTGGGTATGGGACTTGTGGGATTGTGTATGTGTGTATCTGTAGAATTGGAGACAGTGTGCAGGGGTATGAATTTAGCGTGTATATCCGTGTGGGCACATTATTATGGGTACGCATATGAGTGTGGTGTGTGAGAGTGTGTGAATGTGCACACGAACAGATGGGTGCTGTATGTGAATGTGTATGTGTGTCTTTATGGGGGGGATCAGGGGAGCAAGCAGAATTCTTAAGGTGTCAGGTACGGATGGTGGGGAAGATGGACGCCCCGCTCTCAGGCCCCACCCTGGATCCAGTCGGGCTTGATCGTCACTGTCCCAGGTGAACCACCCTTCTGTGTGAGCAGAGGGATCTGTGAGGTGACCAGGGGGTATGAAGGGCTTATCCATGAGACAGATCCTGGCTGGAGCACTCTCGGTGGGCACTGATTGAGTCTGAATAGGCACATTGGTATAGTCCTGGCCTCTCCTCAGCTCTGTTAGCGGAGGAAAAGTTATTTCAGGAGGTCAGGTCCTGAGGCTTCATCTGCCCGGGGGTCCGTGTGACTTGAGGCCTAATCCTCCAGCCAGGCCAACTCCAGATCCTTACAGTGGCTTCCTCTACTTTGAGGTCCCCCCTGACTCTAGTGGTCCCCAACCCTACCTGTTCTGTCTGTTCCTCACGACCACTGCCCCCTCCCGCCTCAGGAAGCAGGTTAGGATCTTGCCTTACTTCCAGTAAAATGGCTTCTCTTTCATATTAGGCCAAGGCGAGAGAGTGGAGACATTTATGAAACTTTGTTTAATGTACTGAAAAGCCATCGGCCAGAACATTTAGGAAATTGATTTTCCTGGCATTGATGAACTCGTTTTATTTTACCCCAGTATTAATTACTTTTTTTTAAAACAAATTAATTTAAGAGTCGTAAAACCTAACAAGTGAGCCAAATGTCCATAGATCATGTCCTGCTCCGCCCCTCCCCATGCCGGTCCCCTCCCTCCATGGGTGGGGGCTCAAGGTAGAGGGGCTTCTCCTCTTTCTCCCCTGCTCTCTCTCAGGAATGACGCACCCCTCTCTCCCTCCCTCCCCCACCCCAGGAGAAACCTCCTCTCTGAGGGACTACGCTGCCTCCACCATGACCGAGTTCCTCGGTATGTTCGGCTATGACGACCAGAACACCAGGGACGAGCTGGCCAGGAAGATCAGCTTTGAGAAGCTGCACGCAGGCTCCACCTCCGAGGTGGCTGCCTCTTCCGTGTTGCCCTCCTCTGAGGATACCCTCAGCAAGCGGGCACGTTTCTCCAAATACGAGGAATACATCCGTAAACTCAAGGCCGGCGAGCAGCTTCCCTGGCCAGCCCATGGCAGCAAGGCTGAGGATCGGGCAGGCAAGGAGGTGGTGGGCCCCTTGCCCAGCCTACGGCTACCCAGCAACACTGCCCACCTGGAGACCAAGGCCACCATCTTGCCACTGCCATCTCACAGCAGTGTCCAGATGCAGAACCTGGTAGCCCGTGCTTCCAAGTACGACTTCTTCATCCACAAGCTGAAGACCGGTGAGAACCTGAGGCCCCAGAATGGAAGCACTTACAAGAAGCCATCCAAGTATGACCTGGAGAACGTGAAGTACCTGCACCTCTTTAAACCTGGGGAAGGTAGCCCTGACATGGGCGGGGCCATTGCCTTCAAGACAGGCAAGGTGGGGCGCCCCTCCAAGTACGACGTTCGGGGCATCCAGAAGCCAGGCCCTACCAAGATTCCGCCTGCCCCCAGCCTGGTTCCTGCACCCCTCACCAATGTGCCCAGTACTCCCAGCGCCCCTGGACCGGGACCCGAGCCACCTGCCTCCCTGTCCTTCAATACTCCCGAGTATCTGAAGTCAACCTTTTCCAAAACAGACTCCATCACCACAGGAACTGTCTCCACTGTCAAGTAAGGAGCCCCCCCATCCCCACCACCACTACAAACCCCAGGGCCGGACTGGAGAAGGAAGCAAACCCCCTTACCTGCAAAGCTCACTGTGTCAGACACAGCCACTTGTGCGATTCAGACTGCCATGCGTGTGCTCACGTGCACATGTACACGTGCGCACACAAGCGTAATTGTGCCTGTGTTCACGTCCAGTGTTCTTGCACCATTCTTAGTGGTGCCCTGTGGCACATCGCCCATGTATCCTCACGTGGTCACACACCTTTGCGCATTCCTCGGTTACTAACCTCTGTTGCCGTGACCTGTTCCCGACGCCTGTTGGCGCAAAGGCTGCGGCTGGTGGAAGGAACTCACTCTGGGGTAGGGATGCGGGCTGGGGTGCAGGTGATGGCCTTGGTTCCTGGGCCATTGAAAAGGCAGGGAGAAGATAGGAAGTTAGGTGAGGTTACCTCCTGTGAACCTAATCCAGGAACGGAGGACTGGCCTGGATGATAAATCAATGGGTCTTATAAGGCCAAACGACACCTCCTCTCTGCTATAGCAGGATGGGGGCCAACAGGTCCTAAAGACTGCGAACCAGACAGATCCAGTTGACACCCTTTGGTATGAGGGTGGGAGTGAGTGCCTATACCCCACTCACGTGTCCAGTACAGCCTTCCTCGCCTGTCTCTCTTCTCTGGTTGCCTAGTGTTTCTCTTCAGCCATCACCCCACTTATTTCTGTTGCATGCTAGAGGCTCCAGGCCCAGGCCTTTACCCAGGCTAACTGTAGGCCTAGCTGGGCCTCCAGCCGTCCCTATTCAGGTAGCACACTCCCGTCAGAGATGGGCTAACTGAGCTCTTCTGGGCTTCTACCACCAAACTTTTTTAGTACCATCCTGAGTGCCTCAGAATGCTACAGGGCCCAGGAGAGAGGAGCCATGGCCCAGGGCAGGGAGCTGCCCATCAGATGCTCCTGGGGCCTGAGGCCACCCCCATCCGCTAATCGGCTGTGCCCTGTGTCTTACCAGGAATGGATTGCCCACAGATAAACCAGCTGTCACCGAAGATGTAAACATTTACCAGAAATATATTGCCAGGTAGGCCCTTGGGGAGGAGCCTGTGGACAGAGGTGGGGGAGGGAGCCAGGGATGTCCAGGGGCTGTGAAACCACCTGTGTATTAGTTTATCCCCAGGGCTAAGAGACTGCTTTCTCCTTTCTCTCTGACTTCCTCCAGAGAGGCTGCTCCTGTGTCTCTCTCAGACACAGATTTTTTGGGGGTAGTGTGGGCAACACAGTCCTTAGGTAACCTATAACTCAAGTATGGCCAAAATATAGGAGAAGGGCTTGGTACCAGGCCTGCCACAGGTGAGTGAGTACGTGGCCCCCTCTGCAGCTGACCTGGTCCTGCCTTCACGTGGCACCTTGGATAGAGAGCGGACCACTGTAGAACTGTTGGGGAAGGGGGGGGAAAGGAAGTCATATTCTCCTTCTGTGGCCCTACTGGGATCCCAGGGGAAACCCTGATGAGGCCAGCCTTGGGATCCATCCTGACGGAGGCAGGATTGGTAGGTGAAGATCCCCAAATCGAGCCTCCTGAGGGACTTGTGTCGGGTCACGCCCCCCCCCCCCCCCGGCATCTGTCTTCTCGTGGTCTTCGGTGTTCTCCCTCACCCTCTGTGTTCTCTGTCTGCTATCACTATTATTAGCGCCTCAGCAGATGGCCCTGTTGGCAGCTTCCATTGAAATACTGATTGCCGGGGGGCTTTTCCCATACAGTGGGGCTTGTCCCCACCCCCATCTCCAAACAGTGTGTCATCCACTGAAGGAAACAGGCCGCCCAAGTGAAGTGCCTCCCCAGGGCTGTCATGGATGGCTTTCCCCAGAGTGGCTGGCCCTGTCTGGCCATCACCAAGGCTATGAGAGCCATGCCCTAGCACACCTAGGCCCAGAGAGGGGCCGTTCAGCGGGCCGGCAGTGCGGGGCTCTTTGCTGTGCACTTGGCTGGAAAGTGAGCTCCCTGCCGCGGGAAGCCAAACAGATGCTGTGCTTTAAAAATTCATAACTCTGGACTGTTTCAAGTGTCAGGAAAAGCCCAGAACGCAGAGAGAGCCTTTAACCCACAGCCCAGGATTGGCCTCGCCAGTAGCCCCTCCCGGGTTGAGCTGCCAGTGTAGTTCAGGTTGGGGGTGGTCAGGCCATTACCTGCTAAAAAGGCCTTTGGGTTGCGTGGGGCTCTAGGTCTCCTGTCTGGTCTGTGTCTTACTCTGACTTGATGCTGTGGCCTGTCCCAGATGCTTCTTTCCTACCCAAGTCCCGACCTCTGCTCCATCTGACACTGCTTTTCAGGCAAGTGCGGCCGCCAGGCAGCTCGGCAGGCCTGTGCTCCCCGACAGGCAGTTGCTTGCTCTGGCTTTCCAGCCTCTGCTCTTTCACCCTTGTATTCCCCGTATTTCCACCCAGGCCCACTAAACCCCAGAAGTACATCTTTGGGGCCCAGGCAGAAATAGTTGTTCAGGCCTGGGGTTCTAGAAGAATCCTTTCAAGGATGGGTCTGACCCCTCCCACTCCCGTCTTTAGGTTCTCAGGAAGTCAGCACTGCGGCCACATCCACTGCGCCTACCAGTACCGTGAGCACTATCACTGCCTGGACCCAGAGTGCAACTACCAGGTATGGGCCATCCTGCACTCACCAGCCAGCATGGACACTTGCTGGAAGTAGGTGGGGGTCAGGGGCCCTCTATAAGCCACCAGACTTTGACATGGATAAACAGAGAGCACAGGCTAGTCCTCTGCATATCCCCAGGCTCCTGCTGAACATGCAACCAATAGGGTCTGCAGCAGCCATTGGCGTCTCAGTGATGCAGAGCCTGGCTCCCTTTCACGGGGCGTCTAGCATGATCCAAGGCTGGGCCCATCAGTCTGCACCTCTTAGCTAACCATCTTTCCAGGACTTTCAAAGGGTATCTCACCGCTCTGTGTTCAAGTCGAACCGCTGAGATCAGATGGTCAGCGCCGCTACCTACCGGCGAGCCTGCTCAGCCTATGGGGTGTACTAGGTAGAATTCGATCTCACCCATCAGAGCCCTGGCCTTCACGGCTGGCCCAGGTCATCTGCTGTGCTCCTGGTAGTTGGGAATCTCCAGAGAGGTCAAGGAAGGAACTGTGGTTTCTGAGTCTTTGGAATCATTCCTACCGAGGGCCAGTGTGCTGGGAACTGGCTGAGCCGTCTGGGCTGTCTTGACCCTAAGCAGGGTTATTTATAGGATGGCCCGAGGGCCTTGGGGCCAGCCCTGGTCCAAGCACTCTTGGCACACAGACTTGGGGCACGGGCTTCTGCCAACTTGGTGTTCTCTTCCGGCAGAGGTTCACAAGCAAGCAGGACGTGATCCGACATTACAACATGCACAAGAAGAGGGACAACTCCCTGCAGCACGGTTTCATGCGGTTCAGCCCACTGGACGATTGCAGCGTCTACTACCACGGCTGCCACCTCAACGGGAAGAGCACCCATTACCACTGCATGCAGGTGCCTGCTGTACCCACAGCCCGGGGCTCTAGAACCTTCCCCTGGCCCTCTACTCCAGGGATGGAGCTGTCCCAGGAGTCAGGGGCCTGATTGGCCAGGACCCTCCTTTTCTCCTGATCCAGGATAGGGGCAGCTGGCATGTAAAGTCCCAGAAGCTCAGATGTCTGGTGGCCAGGGTGGGGCTTTCCCTGTTGCCATACTTGGTGTGGGGGGAAATTCAGCGAGCTGTTTATATAGACCGACATTTTTCGGGCTTTAACACCAAGAGCAGCATTGCAAATGATTCCTGCAGAGGTTTTTGTTTAATTCTTTGTTTTAATGCCACACCGAGTCTGGGCTGTTTCAAGGTGTCAGGCTCAGGAGGGGCAACTTTGGGTTGCAAATAGCAGCCGTGTGCCTCCCCCGTGTTTGTCAGGGATTGTTATGGCCTCCCTGAAACAGCCTGGTGTATGGAGAGGGGGGGACGCGCGCTCTGGGCCTGAGATGGTGCAGACACTGGTACAGCCCAGCCTTTGAGGGTGCTTAGGGCCACTGCTTTTTACTCAATATGGCAACGTTGCCTGCCTGGCCCATCTGTAGTGGGTGGGAGGGCCCCATGCCCAGTGGCCATCCACTAAGGAAGTCCTGGAGCTAAAGGTGACCTTTAGGGTCCAGCCCTCGTCCAATCCTAAGGCTTTAGAGATAGAGTCACCAACTAGAACCCCCCCTAAGCCTAGCTTCGCTAGATGGTGGCTCCTTCAGTTGAGCCAACGGTATATGAGATCCAGAGACCGATACTCTGCAGACGATCACAGTCACTCCCTGGGAAGGCTGGAGGGTCACTGGAGGGTTTCTTTGCTTCAGAGCCTGGGTTAACCTGGGGAGTTTGAGGTTCGGAGGTGCCAACAGAACCCCTGAACCAGAACCCCACGGCCCTGGCTCCAACCACAGCACTGGGCTCAGCTGGCCTAGGAGGGCCAGACTTGCACCCCTTAACCACCATTCCGGCCTGTGCAGGTGGGATGTAACAAGGTGTACACAAGTACCTCAGATGTGATGACCCATGAGAACTTCCACAAGAAGAACACCCAGCTCATCAACGACGGCTTCCAGCGCTTCCGAGCCACCGAGGACTGCGGCACCGCCGACTGTCAGTTCTATGGACAGAAGACCACACACTTCCACTGCAGGTGAGTGACTGCCCACTGAAGGCCTCAAGAGGGACCAGCAGGGAACCAGGCCACGGATCACCAGGGCCCTGCTCCTGCTGGGCGTCAGGGCTTGCTTAATGGCCCCGCCTTCAGTCTTCCCCCCCACCCCCCCGAGCATGGAACAGTCAAGAGCAGGGCCTCCCTTGGGTCCCACGAGACCCTGTGTCAGTCTCCTCATGTCCCCTGCAGGCGTCCTGGCTGCACGTTTACCTTCAAGAACAAGTGTGACATCGAGAAGCACAAGAGCTACCACATCAAGGATGACGCATACGCCAAGGACGGCTTCAAGAAGTTCTACAAGTACGAGGAGTGTAAATACGAGGGTTGTGTGTACAGCAAGGCCACCAACCACTTCCACTGCATCCGCGCCGGCTGCGGCTTCACCTTCACCTCCACCAGCCAGATGACCTCACACAAACGCAAGCACGAGCGCCGGCACATCCGATCCTCGGGGGCCCTGGGGCTGCCGGCCTCCTTGCTGGGCACCAAGGACACGGAACACGAGGAGTCCAGCAACGATGACCTTGTGGACTTCTCTGCCCTGAGCAGCAAGAACTCCAGTCTCAGCGCCTCCCCCAGCAGCCAGCAATCCTCTGCATCCCTGGCCGCTGCGGCTGCTGCCACCACTGCCGAGGCTGTCCCCAGTGCCACCAAGCCTCCCAATAGCAAGATGCCAGGCCTGCTGCCCCAGGGCCTGTCTGGTTCCATTCCCCTCGCACTGGCTCTCTCTAACTCAGGCCTGCCCACCGCCACCCCCTATTTCCCTCTCCTTACTAGCCGCGGGAGCGCCTCGTTGCCTGTGGGATCTCCAGGTCTCCTGGGCTCCATGTCCTCTGGGGCCACGACCTCAACAACCCCTGACGTGCCAGCTCTGATGGCTTCTGGAGCTGGAGACTCAGCCCCCACAGCTGCCACCTCTCTCTCGGTGCCCCCTGCCTCCATCATGGAGAGGATCTCGGCAAGTAAAGGCCTCATCTCACCCATGATGGCCAGACTGGCTGCGGCCGCCCTCAAGCCCTCTGCCACCTTTGACCCAGGTGAGCAGGCTGGGCCCTGCCCAGTAAGCAAGCACATTCGGAAACTGGCAACTCCCAGTACTCAGACTGAAAAACGCGGGGCAGGCTGGGAAGAGTGTCTGCCTGGCCCACACACCTGCACCCCACACTTAGCAGCTCCTCTCCGATTGGTCTCTGTCTCCATCTTGTTGATGTGCCCTTGGGGGTGGGAGGGTCCCTCATTTTGCCATGCGTCCAGGGACTCCCTGCTTCTCTATATGTGGAGCTGGTCAGTAGTCCCTGTCTCTGAGCACCTGGGTGGCCTAGCGGCACCAGGCCTCACTGGCTCTGTCACCAGTGAGTCCCTGAGCAGTCTTCTGTCCAGCCAGCTCTTCTCTAGCCGACACAGAGCGAAATGTGAGCTCTGGGAATGGGCATTTGCATCCCACACCTGGATAGCACAGCTCTCGGGCTTGCTCCCTCGCCCCTTTCTCTCTCTCCCTCGTCCCCTTTCTCTCTCTCTCCCTCGTCCCCTTTCTCTCTCTCCCTTGTCCCCTTCTCTCTCTCCCTTGTCCCCTTCTC